ATAGCATTCAGATTGATTTTTCAGAGCATGTGAAAATTTGTTTAAAAATGCAAACTATAGAACTCTTTTGAACTGATCTGCCTGCATAGACTATCTGAGAGCCAATCCCATTCAAATGTATAATTTATATTGCGTGGGCGTGCATAGGATTGTACTATGAACATTTTGGATGCGGTGCTTGGCTGATCAGTTCCTACAGAAAACAAATGCAGTTACTTTTCAGGTTGAAAAGCTTTCTTCTGGAGCCATATTTACAAATGGCATAATTTCCTCAGTGGCCTCAAAGAGCAGAGATAATGCAGAGCAGAGTTTTCATTCAAATAAAGGCAACGATGTAAATCCACAAATATCAATACACCCTTTGTGTTGTTCCAGGTGTTGGTTTTAAATACTGCCAAGCGGGAATTGCAGTAACAATGTGAACCCTGTGCCCGTAGTAACAATTGGCACGGATTGGAAAAACATAGTTCCATTTTGTGCCAACCCAGCCATAAAACCTGAGTTTAAAGTTGCACGACTATTGCATCCCAACATTTGCTTCTACCTCTACATTTGCCTCTTTTCCAGGTAATTATCGAAAGGTATAAAGGAGAGAAGCAGCTCCCCGTTCTGGACAAAACGAAGTTTCTGGTCCCAGATCACGTCAATATGAGTGAGCTTATCAAGATAATCAGGTATTTGCCCGCAGGTTCACTTTTTGTGATACCTAAGAAACAAAAGGCTTCCTTACCTTGGGGGCACCCGGTTTTATTGGGACTCTGTCGGCTAAGAACTCTTAAGAAATGTTGTTCTGCAATATTGGGAGGCTGCCAAGCCGAGACAAGCTACTGTAGTGGATAACTTAGCCAGGATTCCACAAGGCTCAGCTGGCTTGTGGCAAAAACCCAGATCTTAAACCCGGCCTGTCCTCCGCTTACTCAGGGGTGCAAGTGCAGAGGGACAGGGGCTCTTGGGCTTTGCTGCCTGAAAACTTCCGTTGTCCCAAGGGTGCTTTTTTCCCAAAAGGCAACAGGACTTCCTTGCTTTGTTTTTCCTTGAAAACATTTCGCTTCTCATCCAAGAAGCTTCTTCAGTTCTAACTGAAGAACTGTTCCACACCTATTTACACACTGATTTAGGTGACTCTGAGGAGACAGATAAGCCCCCAAGGGGCCTCAACAAATCCCAGAGAGCTAACACCCACCTTCAAAGCAGACAACTGCGAAGCATATAAATCCTTCTATTCCTGACCAGAACTGAAGAAGCTTCTTGGATGAGAAGGGAAACGTTTTCAAAGGGAAAAACCAAGAGAGCCCAGTCGCCTGTTGGAAAAGCACCCTTTGGGACAACCAGGAACTAAACAACCCCTCCAGGGACCACTGCTGGTTGGGATGGAGAAGGGGGGGAATCTATTCCGACCCGAGGAAACGAGGCGGAACCTGGAAAAGGGTCCATTCAGGGCATCGATGGGAGGGGGAAGGATTCCGTTTTGTCAGCTCATTCAGGATCTCTGAATGGCCTTTGTGAGCCGGTCTGGATTTGTCCTGGCGGTGGCAGGTATCCAGTCCCTGGAGGTCTGCTCAGGAGGGAGAGGCTGGGACGTGCTCAGGAGGAGAGCAGCTTAGTTGAGGGATCCTTTCTGGATGCGATAAAGAGGAGGAGACTGTCATCCATTTGGGGGTTCCCCAGGCCAGGCCGAGCGGGGCGCTGGCGTGGGTGGCACCTCTTTCCTGAACGGCTTCCTTTTTCCCTCCCAGACGGCGGCTGCAGCTGAATTCCAATCAAGCTTTCTTCTTACTGGTGAACGGACACAGCATGGTGAGCGTCTCCACGCCCATCTCGGAGGTGTACGAAAGCGAAAAGGACGAAGACGGATTCTTGTACATGGTGTACGCCTCTCAGGAAACGTTTGGCATGAAACCCTCCATGTAAACACCTTGCCCTCCCCCGCCGACCCCCCCTTGGCCTTGTAGCCTAGCCTAGTTTTTACCCTCCCCTCCCCTGCCCCTCCCTGCCCCGGAAAAAGAAAGGGATGCCACGCCACTGGTGTGCTCAGAGTAGTTGCGCTTTGCGGGGATGTTCTCAAAACGTCCTTTCCTTTGTAAATATTTAACAGACGAGTGCCAGTACGGACAAGCCGCCCAGCTTCGTAGACTTGCTATACGTTTGCACAGGCCTACTTGCTTTTTAAAAGCCTCTGGAATCGGAGCAAGACCATAACATGCATGTTGACAACAATAATAATAATAATAATAATAATAAAAATAAATGTTGGCGTTACTCAAATCATAGGAACTGGGCTAAATGTTAAAAGTAGCCAACTGAAATACATCGGTGTGATATATCCTGTTAATTTATATTTTAGCTCCTAAAAACTGCTTTTCCTCAGAGATAGGAAAGTCTGCCGCCTCTTTCGGCTTCTCGTGTTTGGAAAATCAGTGCACGTTTTGGGGGAGGGGGAGAATATAGAGAAGGGTTAATTCTCTGGTATTGCTACTTTAGACAATATCAGCAAAACACCGGATTGCTAACTATATACCAAGCATAGCTTTAGTTTAGGAAGTGTGTATTTTAAAAATTAGGTTATGTACTTAACAGTTAAGAATGTTACTCTAATATATTTGTATTCTGTCATGCATCTATTTTTTTTTTAATCCGAATCCGCCCATCTCGTCCTCTGAAGAGGAGGGGGCCTTTTGTCCTTCAAACGCTGGTAACAGATGCAAGCCATCGGGGGCAGGCAAAGGCTTTCTAGCCATTACAATTGTGTATTTTTGTGCACGCCTATGTATCTTCATCTTTTTACCCGCCCAGTTCTTGAACTGGGACAGGTGGAACCAAGATTGAATCTGCGTTGCATCCATAACTGAAAACCTTGGTTTCCTTCCATTTTAATTTCGCACTGAATAAAATTTCACTTTATTAAAGTCTAGACTGTATCTTAAGATGACCAAGTGTGTGTGTGTGGATTTGATTGCTACAACTTTGTACCTGCTGCACATTGACTGAATTTTCTTTTGTTGTCGTCTCCTATGCAGAAATATTTCAGGTAGCCGTTTGGATTCTTCAGAAATGTAAATTTACTGTGTTTTTATGGATCTGCAGGTAGGATGGTGTTATATGCCATCCTACCTACATGTTACATTAGATGCCTGCAGTGGGATTTACCCTGGTTGTAAGGTTGTTTTAAAGAAGCCCATCCAAAACCTGGCCCTGTTCTGTTCTGTTGTGGGTGACAGTTGAATGGATGTGGTTGTGGACTTTTTGAACCTTGAAACCCAGTTGTTATATAACACAGCACTGGGAAATTGGCGCAGCTGCCTCTGGCCCGGTTGCTTGGAACCAGGACTGCTCGAATCCCGGGACACAACTTCAATGCAGCAAGAAAAAATCGGGCTCCCAAGGCTGTGTAAGGAAGGACGGGCCTGTTGAGTGGATTACGGCAGAGCCCCCAATTCCTGGCCGTGGCCTGTTAGGAACATTGCCAGAGGACTGGAGATGAGGAGCCAGCGAGCAAAGCTGCATCTAGGTTAAGCTCTCCTCATCCTCTTTCCCCCTCTCCCAGTCTCTGAAAAAAATACATCCTGGCATATTCCTCTGGTGCCCAAGGGGTTGGGAGCACCCGCGGGGTTACGGCACAGCTCAGGGTGCAGCAGGGCCTTGCCTTCTCCTGCAGAAAGCAAATCCACGTCCAGGGAAGTTTGCTTCCAATTCCCCCTTCTGAAGATGCCCTCTGCCAGTCTGTGGCCAAGTGCTATCACCTTTAGCCTCAACGGGAGGGGGCGGGGAAAAACCCACATCAATGAGGATAACTGGAAAGACACTGCGGTCTTTTATTTATTTTTCAGTACATTAAATTTACTCGGATAAAAACATTCTAAAAATGTACAATTTTACCTTTAACAAAGTATAATAAAACATAAAAATCCCAATACCAGAATACTTGACATTTACAGTTGAAAATCATATTAGGTAAATATTAAATATTTACAAAACTTTTGGATATTTATATAAAGTTTCGTGCACATTTTGTAATACTGGGAGTTAAAAGAAATGGCTCGAAACGGGCAAAAGGCGTCCCTTTTGCTCCAAACGGAAAGTTATAACTGGAAAACATGTTAACCTGCCATTTGGGGACATAAATGTTTCCTATTAACAGTTAAGAATTCAGTTTACGGAGAGCGGTGCGAATAGTGGTAGCTTTCTGAATTGCTGGCTTCTTTAATTCCTGCTTCCAGGTGGAGCCCATCAATAAAGAGGGTGCAGATATGTCTACTCGTCTGTAACAAAAGCACCTTCAGGCTAGCATGAGGAATCTGATCATTTTAGGGTCATGTTGGCCTTAAAATGAAGTGCCTCCGCTAAAGCCTTTCCTCTAGGTTGATTTCGGGACAATATGGAAGGCATCCTTTTCAACAGAAATTAGAAAGCTGCTCTCTTAACCGGAGGCTAGCTCAGAGTCTTGTAGTGCTCCATTAGGTTCTCATTAAACAAACCCCATACCTGGCAGGTATCCTACAGTACAGTCAATGAAAATAGTCTGGCCAGGATTTGGGGCAATCCTGCATGAGGTGCTGTTTTTGTTAACATGAATTGAGTCACATTCCTTCAAGTCCTTCAGTGCAAAGTTGCAACCAAAACGGAGGCACGCAGTCAGTATGTCCTAAGAAAGTGTTTTCATTGTTCTTGCCTGTGAGGGGCCTGCTGTGGGCATCTATTCCTATATGAAAAACTGCCAACCCCTTCTGAATAGTGGAGAATATGAATGGAGAACTACAAGACAAACCTAATACTTTCAGAGGGAAACCAACAAAAGTCAGATCAGGTTTTCTTCTGGGGATTCCACTGCATTTTCTCTGCAATTATCAAAGCGGTTCTCTTTTTTTTCCATGGGAAAGAAAATCACATTTTTAAAACTGCACAGATGTAACACAGGCAAGTTTCTAGAGGCTTCCCATTTAAGAAAACCAGTAAGGTTTTTATTCTGCTAACCTTGTGGGATGGTAGGATTCCTTTTTTAAAATGGACATTTGGCTCTTAGCATGTATTTCAAACTACTAGAAGTATTTTCAGCTTTAAAAGTAAACATACTGAAAGATGTAATAACCAAAACAGGTTGCTTCTACTCATGGCAAGATCATTAAGGCCACATAAATTGCTGAGTTCCCATCCACTTTGAATAGAGTTTCTTTTTTAAATTTTCCTAACGGGACCATGTATAGCAGCAGCCTCAATCATTCAGGGCACTACAAAATGAATTGCACACGTTACATTGATTTTAACAGCAGCTATGTTATTATCGGAGTGAATAAAGTTCAACTAACACAAGTCTTGTCTCACACCCATCTAACCCTGTTTTGGTGAAGCCGAAGTGAGGAGATGGAAACTGAATAATACTCCACTGCATAGAAATAACGGATATCAGATGCAGGCCTGTTGGAATATCAACCAGCGTCCAAGACAATAGACCAGCCCAGGATGGGAATTCACCACCACTTTGCAGAAAACAGAGTGCGATGTTTAACACTGCCACTCCTGCTGTTCAGAGGGGAGCCTCTTTTCTACTACAAAGCAGCACATTAAAAAATGGGGAGACCCAGCCAATCCTGTCCTACATGACTCGAAGTTGAGGCAGCCCAGATGACGAAGCAAGGAGCGCAGCAGGGAGAATGAATTCTTAAAACACGTTGCTTCTCTTTGACAGGTAAAAATCCACATTGTTTGAACCCCTTTGGATAAGCACTACTGGCTGCTACTTAGCTACCAAAGCTGAATTTTTTTATAGCCCGCATTGAATGAAAGAGTCAAAACTATAAAACTTTCCTAAGTAATGAAACGGTATGCTACTGTAATTGGTATTTGACGCTGTGCCTTCTAAACCCAACAAATTCCTGGAAGAGTCTGAATTTTAAAATTTATTACAGATGCAGAACACCATTTCCTATGGCAGAAACCGCTGAATTGTTAACACTTCCTTAAATTGTAATTAAAAAAAAAAATACCATGGAGTCTCTGGCACTAGACCCTTGGAGACTTAAGTTTAACCCACCGCTGGTAAGTTAGTCCTACATTAAGAGGAATCGCTGACCAACGTGGTGTAACTGTTTCCAGAACGAAGCATTCACCTCTGTTCTTTGGGAAGAAAAAGAGGGTTAAGTTTTTTTCCTTTATTAGATGACCATGTAGCCTGCTGGTGCCTGTTCCCAACATCTCTTCCCCTGACCTCAGTTTGCTAGAAGTGCAGATAGTCAGAACAGAATTATACATTCTTCCGTAGTGCAACCCTTTAAAATCCCAGAGTGTAGTGCCTGATTTATTTTGAGAGGAAGTGGCGGGGGGCGGGGGAAAGGAGATATGTTTTAACTAGCTTCCGAGGTTAAGAGTCCGGCAGGTGAATGGCAGCAGCTGCACCACCGGCCTTTGGCTCTCACTCCAACTCCAGATTCTAATGTAGCTGCCCAGGAGTTTTAATTTTCCAGCATGGAAGGTGAAATTATGGCAACATTCTTCGGCAAAAGTGCAGCAGTTTCTATACAACAAGAAAAGACAGTTGGCCAGTCTCGCCTCTCTTCGGGGAGATCCAACGTTAAAATCTGTTTTGGCAATTCAGGGGGGAAAAAAATGGGCTTGGAAGCCCCCCCCCGCCCCCCCCCTTCCTAGTGTTTCAGTTCCTTCCTAGGGTTGAAGTAGAGCACCTTTGGATTAAAAAAATAACATTAATAAGCTCAACGGATAGACTCCCAATCTGAAGTTCCCTAGTTATTTCATGGCCATTTTGCCACCACAAAATATTGCATCTGAAGTTAAGCTCAGTCCGTGGACTCTAAACTCTCAGCCGGGGGAGCGTATTTTAACCGAAATGTACCTGAAGGAAAAAGAAGGAAGGTTAGATTAGCAGAGTTTTGCAATCCAGGTTGTAAGAATCCCAGTTTAGATTCATAAGATTCTCAGATTTTTTTTTTTTTTTGGGGGGGGGGGGAACGGGACGGGACAATGACAATACAGGAAGTCCCAGACTCGCCACCAGAACTGGGAGCAGAACTTTCACTGCCAAGAAAGGGAGGGAGCTGTTCCCAATTTCACGGCTTTTAGGTGAGTGAATCCCTGCGGTCGTCCAATGAGACCAGCGGTCGTTAAGTGAATCCGGCTTCCCCCATTGACTTTGCTTGACAGAAGCCACCTGGGGAAGTCGCAGATGGGGACCGTGTGACGAAGCCACCCACCCACCCACTGTAAATACGTGCTGGTTGCCAAGTGTCCCGATTTTGATCATGGGAACCTGGGGGGACGGGGGACGGGGGGTGCTACGTGGATTGTGTGTGTGAGGACTGCTCTCCCAGGGTTGCCGTAACTTCAAACAGCCGCTAATCAATGGGTTATAAGTTTTTTCATCTTCTAGACCGGGGGTCTCCAACCTTGGCCAGCACTTCCAACTCCTCCGGGCTTCAAGTGGCCAAGGTTGGAGAGCCCCGTTATAGGCAGCGTTTTCTGAAGGAAGTCGAGACATCCTTAAGAGCCGTGGTGGCGGCACAGTGGTTAGAATGCAGTACTGCAGGCTACTTCTGCTGACCGCTGACTGCCATTGGTTCAGCAGTTCGATCCCGACCAGCTCAACGTTGGCTCTGTGGTCAGTAAATAAGGACCCAGATTGTTGGGGGCTGGAAAGCACCCTGAAGCGGTATAGAAGTCCAAGGGCTACGGCTGTCTTGGGGGCTACACTGGCTGCCTTCCCATCTCAGCTTCCTCAGTCCGGTATAAGCATTTACCCCCTCAGCTTCTCCTGTATTTAGCATTCTGTATGCTACAAAAAACCCCATTTTTAAAAAAAAAACATTCTGCCTTCTCAGACTTCAGGAGACCTGGTCCTCAGGATGACTTTCTAAAGCAGACAAGGCAGAGGGTGTGGGGGGCACTTGCACCCAGGCCTCCTACAGCCCCCAGGCTGTGTCCTTCACAACCACAGACCGGTGCTCCTAGGAGAGCCATTCGGGGACAGGGTCAAACCTGGCAAAGGAGGGGAAATCCGCACTTGCATTTTCAACAGGGTTTTGTCCCACCTGGTGCCCAGAACCACAGTCCCCGACTGCCTTTGGGGGGAGGCGATCCACCTCTGACAAGCCCCCTTCCCCCTTCCTCACCTTGTCGATTGAAATCCATCGGTGGCTGCTTGCAGTCTTGAGCTCGGTGGCCGCTGGCTCCACAGTTGTAGCAGGAGAGGTTCCCGGGCTTCTTGTGTCCTGAGCTACCGCTGTTGTTCACCATCCCCTGGGCCTGGTACACCCCTGCGGTGCCGGCCATGAAGCTTTGCATGGGGGGCACCGCAAAGGTGGACTGTCCGCTCATGAGGGAGTCCGGCGTGGGGCCGCCGCCGCCACCATATGGAGAGTGGACCATGGGGAAGGCCGAGCTGCTGTTGTACTGCTGGGGGTTGACGTAGCCGTTGCTGCACAGGGGACTGAAGGGCAGGAAGGGGAACGTAAACATGGACGGCCCTGAAAAGGGGTGCTGGAAGTAGTTCGTGTAGCTCACAGTCATGCCGCTGGAGCCACAGTTCCCACTGCAGCCGCAGGAACTGCAGACCATGCAGCCGGGCGTCTGTTGATGCTGCTGCTGCTGCTGTTGGTGCTGCTGGTGGTGGTGGTGGTGATGGTGGTTGTTCTGGTTGGGGACAGGCATGTTCCCTGTGGAGCCGCCCCCGCCGTAGAAGCTGCTCTCTGCAGCCGAGGACAGGGTGGGGCTGGAGCTGGGAGCGGGGCAGCTGGGGAGGCTGCCCAGGTTGGCGAAGGAGGTGGCCAGGTGGCTGCTGGAAGACGCGGCAGGGTTGCTGTTTGCGCAGAAGGTGCTGCTGGGCATGGGGGCCGCCGGCATGCCGCTCATGGCGGAAAAGGCCACTTTGGTGTTGGCGGTGTACAGAGCCGTCCGAGGGCTGATTATTGCTGGGGAGACGCTGAATTGCATACTGTTGGAGCAGGGCGGCTGCCCCGCCAGGGCGGCATCGGTGGGCACGGAGGAGGAGACCAGCAGCTTGATGGGGGGCCGTGCCAGGTGGAAGACCGTGCTCGAGGTGACCGGGGCTGTGGCGCTGGTTTCCGCCAGGATGCCCGGGGGCTGGGACGGTTTCACCAGTCGGTCCAGTGTGGGCGCGTGGACCAATTTGGATCGGGGCCCAAAATGAATGGAAGGCGCGGAGGGGCCGTTTTCGGGGACCGCCGAGAGCACCTGGAGGGGCTGATGCGGAGGCGCCAGGATGCGATCCGCCAGGGCGTTTCCAAAGCTCTTCTCCATCTTGACGCTGTTCGGAGTGGGCCCGCCTGAGAACTTTGTCCTGTCCTCTAAAGGTAAAAGCGGGTGCATAGGGGAAGAAAGGAGCTTCAGGTCGGCATTTCCACGCTCGGGTTTGTGCATAGAGTTTAATATTCGAATCGGAGCGGCCGTCATCTGTCCTGGCAAGGGGTGGTGAGCCGTCGGACTAGACCCCGCCTCGTTCTGTACGGGCAAAACCTGAGCGGTGGGCCGGGCCGAGCTGGAGCCGAAGTGATTCAGGATCATGACCGGCTTCTCCTTCTCCGGGGGCTCCGGGTGGATCTCCACACCTGCAAGGCAAACGGGATCAGCTGCAGCACACCGACCGAGGGAGACCCGGGGGCTGCCACGGAATGAAAGGGAGCACCCTTACGCCTCTCATTCTCCTCGGCGCTGTCCGAGCTTTCTTCCCGGGGCTGCATGCCCATGGGGCTGGAGGACGAGCTGGAGGACTCCGAGGAACTGCCTTCACGGGGGGGCATGGTGGGGACCCCCTGATCCACGTCCACGTGCAGCTCTTGGGGGAGAGAAGCAGAAATCCCTCATCAGAAACGAGGAGGCGAGGGCTGCAATTAAGCGAACTGCTTCCTAAAGGGAGGCATAACCTTGGAAGTCACAGATTTGAGTAAAAGAAAACAAGATCCCGAAAAACGGGATCCCTCGGTCCTGGCTTTATGCCCCCCCCACCCCCCAAAAAAGAGGCAGGTGAGAAAAGGCTCCAGACAGCATTAATGGGAGAGACGCACCTGACACACACTCCTTTACCTGTGGCATGGTTCCCACGAATGTTCTGCATGGGGTTGATGTGAGTGGTGGGAGGAACTCTGGCCACCCCAGAGCTGACGGATGGGGAGGGGGCTGGGTTCATGGTCCGCTTCTCTGACTTTTCTCTGCCGTTAAGAAAAGGTTGAGGAAACGGTTGAATACGATCGTCCTGTGGGTCACCCCTTTCCCAACACCAAGGAAAAGGTGCTTTTCCTGTGAGATCGTTCAGGGCTAGTACAGGCACAGACCCATCAGAGGGCGGTTCAGAGTTTGCAATGAGCCTGAACAGAAACAACTTCTGACGGCTCCTCGCAGTTCTAGCCATTACCCCATTCCCGCCGTCACATGACTCCCAACCCAGGTACCTGGCTCACTGTTACGGGCCACACTGCAGCCACATGACCCCGATAGCCAGTGTTCCCCGCTGGCTTCCCACTAAGCCAATGGGGAAGCTGGCAAAAGTCGGACGTTGCGGTCACACAATGTCCTCACTGGACGATGGCAGCCGGACGACCAGCATCATCATCGGCAAATGCTTTACAACTGTGTTGCTTAGCGACAGCGCTGCCTTTGTAAGTTGAGGACTACCTGTACTGGCCACAAAATGTTCTGGGACAGAAATTGAACACCCCTGACCCCCCCAATCCAAGGTCAAATATGTCCCTTTTTTTTTTAAGAACATACAGTACATTCCTAAGCTGTTGGGAATGTCTTAAGAAAACCCAAATCTCTCTAGCGCTAGTTACAAATCTAGGCACTGAAGGGGGAAACCGCCTTGTGTGCTTCTGCAGCTGATACTTACTTTTCCAATTCCAGCTGGGTCTTGAGTTTCTTCTTTGCTCCCATGGTGAGTGTTTCAAACTTATTAAGATCTTCTTCGGTGAGGCTCAAGAACTTGTGGAGAAAGACAAGCCATCAACATGTTTTCTCCACATAAAAATCACTTGTCAAAATTGAGGATATTACGGCGGGCATAATGCACTGCGATATATTCCAATAAAAGAAAGAGAAAGTATTCAAGGATCCAGCCTTGCACTAAATTCAATTTATAGCTAAAGGCACACCAAAACACTTGCATTAAACATCTCCTAGAAGACGCCCGTTAGAAGTGCGCTGGGTTTAAGTGACATAATTCAACTCCACCAGAGGGCAGCCTAGCATCGTTTTTTTTAAACCAGAATAAGATGGTTGTATGTTTACAAACATCTGCAAAGAAGGGCTACAAAGGTCATTTTAAAAGCTCAGTAAAGCCTATACCGGCTCAGCTTTTTCCCAGAGTACTGGAAGATTCTGCTCGCCAGATACACAATTTGTGAACTGTTACACTGAGTTGGGAAAGGAAGGGCAGGAAAAAAAAAAACCCCACTCTCTATTCTTCTGGTGAGGCCTCCATCATACCTTCTCCATCGTCAACTGCTTAAAAACCGGGTAGTATTTGTGCAAGCGCAGTTTTCGCAGCCAGTCTAAAATCCCATTCTGCTCCTGGGCCTGAGGGTTTTGCGGACTCGGAGCCATCAAAACAGGGGAGGGGTTTTCCATCTGGCCGCGGCTACAGGTTAACGTGGGTCCGGCCCCGCCTGAATGAGAGCAGTGGGAGAGGGCGACGGCTGCTGCGGACGGATGGGGCAGGTGATGCTGAAGGCTACTCGGGGCGGCCTGGACACCTGCAACCCCACAGACGGGCCTGTAAGAGAGGAGGAAAGCCAGGTAGGAAGGAACTGTCCCCGAAGAAGCCACGGAACCACAGACAGTCCACGAGTTATGACCGTAATTGAGCCCCCACAACTACTGCCATGAGCCACGGCGGTCATAAGCGGGCCACGTGACCGAACCTGATTTTATGACCTTTTTGCAATAGCCATAAAGTGAACGCTGCGGTTGTTAAAGCGAAGCCATTGCTCGCTATGGGGTGCTTTTTGCTGGAAAGTGGAATAAAAGCCAGCAAAAACAAAAATGCCTCAGAGATGTGAGGTGAGCGTCAGGTCTGTCAGGATTCTGGCCCCAATTAAATCCTGAATCTCGATCCAACCTCCCAAAACTTCAAAGGATTTATTGGAAGTCAACATGTCGGCATGACCTGGGCGTAGCTGACTCGGAGACACATACTTCACTGTCACCCCTGACCCTGTTTTTCCCCCCACCCCCCTGGGTGTATCATAATTCATATATTCTCCAATGAAACACGTCCCTAGCCAAGAGTCATCAATCATGTTCTCCAATTAGATTTTTGCATGGCAGAAGCTTCAGCCATCTAATCAGTCTCTGAGGAAAATATGAATGGAATGTACTTTTGACTCCACACTGCTGCCTGCTCTTTGAACCCCCCCACCATCCTTTCTTTCTGTTGGCAACTATAAAACGTGTATAGAACATGTTTTTTATAAGTTGACAGTGAGCAGTAGGAAGGTCTCGTATGAATACAAAGTGTGTAATTCACGAAAACCCATCTGGGAATTAGCCAAAGCCATTTCCCTTAAATACACAGCAAGTGGAACTACTTTTCTGTTTTTCTGTATTCTACCCGCTCCCTAAATTCATCTCACCTTCCGGAAGCACCCAGCATCGTACCCACTTTGTAAAGGGAAGAATTGCTGGGACCTAAAAACAAGGATATCACAGTGTTTAGAGAGTTATTATACACATATATTTTGGGAGAGGGTTGAGGTGGCGCTTGGTCTTTAAACTCACTTGAACTTTGATATTGTGGGGAGTGACATGAAGTGCTGAAAAATTTCTTGACGTGGTCATTTTTCCAGATATGGGACGGTAAGGATGCCAAATACCTGCAAAATTATTGTGAAGGATGACATTTTCCTAATTTCAGGCAAAACAAAACTAAGATTGCAAAAGCTGTCAAAAATGAAGTTAACACTGCACAGAACCCCTTAGAAAATTACAAATATGTGAAGTATTGAAGTTACTGAAGTAAAACCTGGAGACAGATTCATGAAACTGTTACAATCTTCATGAAACTGTCACGATCTTGCCAAGACCACCAATTTAGAATTACAGGTAGACTTCCACTTATGACCATTTGTTCAATGACCATGAAAAAGGTGAGCTTTGGCTGGTGCTCCCACTTGGAACTATCATGGTATCAAGAGATGGAAGCCGGAATCTCTTAATGATCTGTGATTCGCTTAAACAGCATCATTTAGGGACAGAGGTTCCAGCCCCAATTGTGGTCATAAATTGAGGACTACTTATAACTGGTCAGACTAGAACCTCCTCCTTGCCCATTATATTTCTTGTAAGCAAATAACATTGCTCACGTAATTTAATTAATTGCTTTCGCCAACCGTA